TGTATTCAGCCCTTTGTGATGATGTTGTTTTAGCTGGAAATAGCTATCATTTTTAAAAGATAATTATGGATGTTCTTCTTTGATATCACCCCAAGTTGTCGAGTGGTAATTTCTTAAATGTTCACAATGTTGATTTGAAACAGTATCAATGGACTTCTCATCTCTGTTGTACTAAAAATCCACTGCTATCTTGCAGTTTAAATGAATCCTTACACTCATGAACCCTTGCATGAGCTTCTAACATTATATATTGGTTATTTAGAAAATATGGGTTCCTTAATTTTACAGACCTTGCAAATATTTACACATTTCATTGCATAATATCAATAATAGCAAAGAAAACCAGATTTGTTAGTATTCATAACAATTTTTTCAGAAAAGTCTCTTAGGAAACTGACACGGTTACAGTGAAGGTCATAAGTTTTCCAAAATTCTAACTTTTGTTGGAAAGCTTGAATTTTATTACTGATGACATATGCTATTTATTTTTCTTGAGGTGACAACAGAATGACCAACTTGCCTAGTTTTGTACAAGACCGCCAGTGGCTTGTAGATTTCACTTTGAAAATCACTGATCTGAAAGAATATTGTTTATACAGTTAACATTACAAATATTTGGTATTTAAGTACACATTATCACTGTGCTTATTTGTCTGCTTTTTCACTCTCTGTCAAGGAGGTCAGTAGGTCTGTTCAAAACCATACTCACCTGTGGAAGAGAACTTCAAATGACAGAGTGATCTAGATGGCATGATCTGGATGATCTGCAAGTTATTCATTGCTCTGTGGCTCGGTTTCCTAGAATCATCTTTTTTTTTTTTAGTGTAGGGGTTGGTAATTTGGTTGGGCTCGATGCATGCTATGTAGCAAAGGAAGTGGTTAGCTTAAATTAGTGATTGACAACCAGAGAAGCACACTACCTATGAGTCATGGAAATGTGTATGGGGTGTGATTTTATTTGAATTTATTGTCACAGCTGAGGAGGGGTCAGTGACATTCAGAAACCAGGATCAGAGATGCTCTGGGCCTTCCCAATAAATAATCCTACCTTAAAAACAAAAACACTACCTTTGAGAAGTGTCGGATGATTAATGCTGAATTCCTGCAGTAGAAATCTTTATCAACAAACAGTAAGTGCTGTGTCAAAGGAGAAAGACACACGACAACACACTGCTGGAAGATATATGTGTGAAAAGGGCTAAGGTTGAGCTATCTGGGCTTATTGGTAGGATTTTTAAGGATGAAAGGGGGAAGATGAGGGCCTGTGTGATGGTGCCATATCTTCCTTGTCGTGTGCCTTCTCTGTCTCTAGCTCCAGTTAGGGTATCACAACATCGAAGTCAATTTTTCAACTTTTATTTATAATGTGATTATGTACACATATATTGCATAGCTCAAAAGATATCTCACCTACATTTCTTTATCACACAAAAGAATAGTGTGAACAAAGTCGTGAATCAAAAATAAAACACTTGTTTTTCATCGAATCATAGAATCAGAATGTAACTGAGTGATTGACTGTTTTTAGAATTTTTAGCTACTTTGCTCCTGTTGTTTTCAAGTAGGAAATTTACAGGCCAAACAGGGAATTTGTTAAAGTCATGAAGTAGCTAAAGGAAACCGAGTATTAGTAAACACAGATAACTAAAGTTAAAATGGCATGGATGGCTTAAGTATTCAGAATATATTTGCATTTTTAAATTCTAATCACATAATACTTTTTAGTTAGTGCAATCTCATATCAGTTTAACTCAAGGATCTTTTCTTTTTACAGCTTGTGCCTTACAGAACTCAGCTTTTTGTGCTGAGTGAATATGAGAAGGAAGTATTACTGAAAACGAAGGGTCTTAAGAGTTGTTTATGCAACTTTTCCATAGAACAATCTCAATATCTTATGGACTTATTTTTTATTTCTGAGTTAGCTGGGAGCTTTGACTCCTACACCTTTTAGATGCAGTATTTTGTACTTTGCAAAATTCCAAGGACATCATCTACCAAAAGGCAGAGAAATACGGATAAAGATGACTTATTCATTCTTTAGTTCTTTTTTGTTTGCTTTTGAAAAAGGGTCTCACTATGTAGTTTTTTTGTTTTTTTTTTTTCCAAGACAGGCTGTTGTTATGAACTCACTATTTAGCCCAGGCTGGACTTAAACTCGTGGGAATTCTCTTGTCTCAACCTCCCAAGTGCTGAGATTATAGTCATGTGCTACCAAACGTGGCTTTATTTTCTATTTCTTTGTTTGGGTAAAATACGTGATTGAGGGAACCAGATTTTAAGTGAAGAACTTTAACCTGCTGAGTTCTCCGTGTACTTCTCCAGGGGCGCCGCTCCAGACTGTGCCTCTCCTACTCCTGTTTCAGCTCCCATAAAAATTTATAGATTTAATTTGCCTTGAAAAATCTGAAGAAATTATTAAATCCTAGCTGTGCCTGCATCAATCCAGGGATTTGGTCAAGCTCCCTAAGCTCACTGGGACTCACTTTCTTCGTGTAGAAAATCACTGGCATGTATTACACAGTTATTGTGAACCACCGTGCTTAATGACTGTGTTCAATTCTCCCTTTAAAAAGATTTTTTAAAATACATACATATAATAATTACGGACAGCTTCCATCACTATAACAAATACATGGGATAAACAAACTCACAAAGAGGAAACCGTTATCTGGACTCAGTTATGCAGTTCAGTTTGTGATTGATTGGCCGCGTTGCTCCGGTTCCTGTCGTGAGGCAGCACATTCCGGGGCGCAGGATAGAGCAAAACTCGTCACTTCACGGCCAGGAAGCAAGAGAGGAAGACAACGGCACCAGGTTTCACACCTCCAGTGACCAGAGACTCTTCCTAGGCTCTGCCTCTGAAAGGTTCCAACACCCCCCAACAGTGCCACCAGCTGGGGACCAACACTTGGATGCGTGAGCTGTTGGAGGACATTCATCCGAACCGCAGCAGATGTGTACCTAGGTTTTGACACCTTCTCAGGGGTCAAGCTTCAGTTTCTTTTGAGTGCTTATTTTTAAAAGATACTTTTAAAGACACTATAGATCTTTTAAAACAGAAATAGATGTTAACTTTTAATGCCATGTTTCTAACTGGGTGTTTTTAGGACAAATATTTGAAAACTACCTTCATTAAATTTGTACTTTGTTTTTTTTTTTTTTTTGGTTTTTCTCCGGTACCGGGAACCGAACTCACGACCTTGCGCTTGTCAGGCAGGCGCTTTTGCCGCTGAGCTAAATCCCCAGCCCCTAAATTTGTACTTTGGAAATCAAATTTTACTACTAATGAGACAAAATGAACTCACAAAAATATTCATAATGGGATTTTGTGCAGTTTTAATGTATACACAGTTCCTAAGAGCTAAAAGACTTTTTACAACTCTCAATTTTTAAAACTTTGAATATTGCTTTACAAATAGTAACATTTTAACAATATTTATAATTTACTCAGATTCATGTTAATAGCATCTTCTGAACTACTATTTTATGAATTATTAAGCTGAAGAATACTTTAAGATTATTGGTCTTGAGGACTGAGTTTAGTTTTCAATCATTTCTAAATTTATATCACAGTGTACATTTCCCTACCCCTTAGTAAAGAAACAGAGGCAAGCGAGGGTAAGGCGGGAGCTTGACTACAAGTCTTTAGCACAAAATCGCTGTCTACACAAGTGATGTCAAGCCTCATTGCACCTGCTTGCTAATGTAAAGAGAGACAGGCCATAAGCAATCAGTCTGGTGACTGACTTCCGGCTTCTTACTCCAGCGGTGATGGAGATTCATCCCAGTGCTGTATAAAAACTTTGCTGAAAGAATCTCTGTAGCCGGTATTAGGTTGAATGAGAACACTGCTTTGAAAATATGCATGAGGAGTTTCTAAGGGCGATGCAAGTACAAGTTGTGAATACAGCCCTCCTCAGCTGGCATTTGTTATCATGTTCCAAATTTTTTGTCAAATTTTAAAGATCACATTATAGGTTTTCCAACAATAGTAAACTATGGGAAGGAAAAATTATCTTTGGGCTTTAAACAACTGAAATATTTGCTACTGAAATTCTAAGTTTGTTTCCACTGTGGCAATAATGTCTATTTGCTTGAATTACCTAAAAAAAAAAAAAAAAAAACCCCTTGTATTTCTTGACATGCTGATTTCCAGAACAGTTTGCATGTTTTCAAGAGTTAAAAGTTGAATTCGCCATTTGGCAGTAATTTTGTGATTGCAATTTGTCTTGGAGAGTCTTTAAAAGTTGTCACATAAATAGTAACCCAATCTATGTAATGAAGCAACAGGTCTATAAAAGGCAGAAAACAGGAAACAAGAGAGGAAAAAAAAAGTATGGTAGTCCAGCACAGACAATGTATCTAAAAGCATACCTGCACTTAGGACAACTGTCTTACATATTTTATGTATTCTTTGTCCTATTAGTCTAGTTTTTAACCTATACACATAATAGTTCACTTTATTAAGATCTTATAAGATAAATCAATGAATCTGGTGCTGGAAGAATAACAGGTAAAGGCAAGGGGGGAAAAATAATTGAAATGTGCTATGTATATCTACCAATTCTCTATAGTGAATGCAGTCATTATGTACTGCAAACATGTACTAATAAAAGTATAAAAAGGAAATTGTATAAAAACAGCAAAAAAGAGCAAGCCTACTGGGCTATATACTATAGGATTGAATACTAAATTTTCATTACCTTCTGATGTCAATAGCAACCCCTATCTTTATAATTAAGTCCAATTTTCATTGATATCTAAACAAGACAATTAGTAACTTTACCCTTTTCTTCCGTTTCCTTTAAAAGAGTATTTTGTGAGTCCTCAGTTCATTCATCTCTTTTCAAATGCCCAAAGTTATTCCTTAATATACCCATAGCTCATGAAGAGGAGCACGGATGTAAATAATATGAGAAAAATTGATGTTTGTGATTATAGGGAGTATTGATCTTTTGAATGGTATTTTTAAATGATTCATCTTTAGTTTCTTTTTACAGCTAAAGACTCAACAGCAGGATGAAAATTTCGGCCTTGCTTTTCATCTCAGCCACACAAAGATGTTATGAAGAGCTGCTCTGAACCCATCCTGTTTGTGAAAACAACCTCCCCAAAGGAGCACGGACCATTGTTGTTCTCCTCCGTTCCTGTCAGTAATTGATTCAGGAAGCTTTCTTGAAGAATCAGTTCTTCTGCTTTATTATCACTTCTGCCGAATGTTGCGCAGGGATTGTCAAAAATTTGAATGTAATAAAATGAATAACATTACATCTATAATGAATATAATTTAGGCCTTCAGACTGTAGACTTTTCAGTGGTATAGATGTACCTTTTGAACATCAATGATAATGACATTACAGGTATAAAAATATAGGAAATAGACTGAAATGACCTTTGTCCTGTAATACTCGGTAAGTTATTTGTTAAAAGGAGTCCTCTCTGTCACTTAACTTGTTTCCTTCTCATACAGGAGAAGATGAAGTGAGGATATGGGAGATAATGTGAAGAGGGTACCCGGTATGTGAGATGTTAGTTTTTTTTTTTTTTTTTTGAGACAGAGTTTAGCTATGCAGTTTTGGCTGGCCTGGAACTCACTTTGTAGCCCAGGCTGGCCTTGAACTCACAGCCATCCTCCTACCTCAGTCTCCTGAGTGCTGAAATTCTAGGTGTGCACCACCACATCTGGCTGAGATGTTAGTTTCTTTTTTATAAATGTATTATCACATCTAAGACACAGTGTGATTAGCCAGCTTTGACAAGGATCCACTATTAACGTATCAGAAGCAAAGACAGAGCGGATACTGAGACATAGTGTATATCCCAATGATAAGACAATGCCACCTTGTTCTCTCTTTTTAGGGAGTCCAAGTTAAACAGTAAGTGGAAGAGTCTCAAGCTTAGTCACCCAGGTCATGACTTGAAGATCAATTTGATCTCTCTCTTCACTTCCTCCCACCCCACAAGGAGTCCGGTGTGTCTCTCAGAACTCTGCTCTCCAGAATGTGGAAAGATAGACACATTGCAGAGTTCCAGCTCAGGGCTTGGTGTCATCCTGAGTCACTCCTGGCTTCCCCTCAGGCATCCTGAGTTGCCTCCTAGGAATGGAATAGGCAGTGGGCCAAGGTGCTGTTTTCCTCCTCCACATTATCAGTTATGGAGGCCGGAGCCAACTTTGCAACTTCTGGTTCCTCTGGATAGATTCTTCCTCACGCTCTTTCAAAATATAATTAGTGTTTATCCACTGTTACCAGCATTACTACTCTTTTGAGCAGGTTAATCAGGTAATTCTTCTCACAAGCTGCAGCTTCCTGCTAAGTTATCTTCTCTCCTGTCGAAGGACCGATGAAAAACTTGGCTTCCACTAAGTCTAGTTCATCTATGGCTCTTCCAACTGAGACCATTTGTTGCAGGAATAGTTCCACCACTTACAACATTCTCATTGCAGTAGGTTGCAATTTCCTTGAGCACTAGAAGGACTTTTTTTAAAGAAAAGATTCTGTCATTTCACCAAATGTAGGACGCCTCCTTCTAAATGAGCAAGATTCAGCAGGTCTGGTGCAGCTAACCTTGATCCTTCCTAGCTGGTGTCTTATTGCTGCTTCTTGCCCAGCCCCCATCCTGTGTTTTAACCTGGCTCCTCTTTTATGTTCACTTATTTCATCACTTGAAAGAAAACAGCAGGACCTGGAAACTCTAGTCCAGTCATGCTCCTGGACTCTTGTCTTGCTCTGCGGTCTCTTTTGATCTCAATTTCTTCTTTCTCACTGTTACAAGTGTGGCAACTGAGAAGCCTGGGGAATTTGCAATAAACCGAGGACTGCAGGAGAACATGGATGTGAGTGTGGGAAGCAAGGTGTGTCTTCTGTGTAGCAACGCCTGGTCTCACGTTTGCTATGACTGCAGATGTTGCCGCCCTCTCCCCAAGCTGAGATTTTATGGCCACACAGAAGTGTGAATTCCTACATTTAATTACAACATATGGTGAGTTACAACATGCTCTGGTGCTGGTTTTAACACTTGCAAAGTAATTGGAGGATTGTCCGTTCTTAGATATTTAATTGCCTCATGGCTGCAGAGGAGGTACTGCCACAGCTGGTTTTCACAATGAAAGGTTTCCACAGGGTGCTGTGGTTTTGGCTGGCCTTCTGTTCTTGGGAAGAAATAACATGCATTCCTGCCTTTGCAATATGATGTTCTTTTCATCTCTATTTTTCACTTTCTTGGTTGGCTCTTAAAAAAAGTCAAATTTCAAATGAAATGGTATTTAGATTGGAAATTGGCCACATGCTACTGAGGTAGGGAGGGCATGTGTGCCTCATATTAATGACAAATTTTCACTTGAGTTCCCATGATTGGTTACCTTTTTCATAAAACTCTTTAATTCATTTAATAAAAATGTTAGCGTCTAACATACACTGTACTGTAAGAGTTTTAGATTTTGTATTGTTTTCATATTTTGTATATCATATTGTATATTTCAAATGATATTTTGCATTTATGTTAATATACTATTTTCTAGCTGAGTCATTTTGAGTTTTTAAAGAACTCTAAGATATAATTTCTATATTCATTTGCATTATAAAGGGGATCTAAATGATTATCAAATCATTTAAAAATGTTAGGTTTTTAACTGAGTTGATTTGCTTTGTAGACTAATTTTACGTGGTAGTCAAACTATTTCTATCATGGTTTTATAGCTGTGCATTCATTTCTCATATACTTCATAATCTGGGGAAAATAACTTTAAAAATAAGCATAGAATGTTTCCATGCTGAATAAGACCTAAAGTATTTCCAGTACCAGAATGTTTCCTACTGAAACCAGAAGTTGTGTTTTAGAAGGACATGATTAATATCCATGATGTGAATTTTAAAAATCAGTTGGCCTAGATAAGTAACTATGACTTTTTAGAGAAAAGCTGATTCCAGGACTATGGCAGTGAAGGTTTGGGTTGAAACTGAGATTTCAAAAACAATTAATACATTATCTTTATTCTGGGAAGTAAGGAAATACACAAACAATGAGGATACATCCAAAGGACAGAAAAGCTAGCTTCTGTGAGTTCTATTGGCCAAATCTGGAACAATGAGAAAGAGAGAGAGAGAGATTAATGGATTATAATTAATAAAACAAGAATTCATAGATCCAAACTGGCAATAAATAAGGAAAATGAAAAGCTGTTTCTTGCAGCAAAAAATGCTGGCTGGCAATAAGAGAACACTAATATAAAAAATGCAGTTGGAAAATTACCATTTTGCAATCTTCAGAGTACATAAAATTGATCATAGCTAGAAATATCAAGAGATACTCAACCAAGCAAAGGGAAATTTGATGAGAAACAAGAATTTTGCAGTCTCCAGTGATCTGTCTACAAATTGCTTAATAATCATGAAAGGACAAATAGTGTGGAAATGGGGCGACATATTACTTAACCAACAGACTATCAGAAGGGTCACTAATAAGAGGAAAGGAACAGCAAGCGCCTTCCCGCGTGATGCCACAGGAAAGCAACGTTAGTCATGCAGCAGCCTGCTCGGCCTGAATCATCTCTTCCTCATTGTGAGGAAAGAGCAGAGAGATCCAAACCTGCACAGATACACTCTCTGGAATAACTGGCCTGTAGTCATCAGAAATGTCAATGGCGTGAAAGCCAAAGTCAGGCCCATTAACCACTCCAAATTAAATGAGACTAAAGAGACATGACAGCTAAATAGACTATGTGATCCCATACAGTATCCCATGCTGGAGAAAAATTCTATAAAGGATAATTTTTTTTTAACAACTGAGGAAATTGAAATGGACTTCAAAGTGTTGGATGAATGTAAAATGTCCTGAATGTAGCCATTATACTGTGATTCTATAAGAGAAAAAATATCTGGTTATAGGAGAGTTAAGCTGAAAATTTAAGGCATAAAGTGGCACAATTTGTCCAACTTACCCTTATGTGATTCAAAAATGTATGTTTTGAATTTACATATATTAATCTGTATATGTGAAGTAGGTAGGTGGAGAGGTAGATATAAAGAAAAGAGAGAAAGCAAGTATCAAAGCTTAGTAAACCTGAGTAAAGAGATTTTTTGTATCATTCTTGCAACTTTTCTGTAAATTTGAAGATATTTCAAGCACAGTTTTTAAAGAGAAAACACAAGGAAACTGTATTAGTCAGTGTCCACTAGAGAAACAAGTTTAATGTCAGATGTAGAAATACTGTATATAAGGATTTACAAGCTAGGCTTACAATGGCCATGAGAAAAGAGCAGAGAAATCCAAACCTTAACAGACACACTCCATGGAGTAACTATGGAGAGTCAGGTGTGGAAGAGCGCAGAAGTGCTGTCAGAGAGCTGGAGATCCGCAGGATCTCGTCTAAGGCCTGGAGCTCACTGTGAAGGGTCTGAACTGGCACCACTCACACCCAGGGTGGGTCTTCTATCTTCAGTAAATCCCTTTGACTACACCCACAACTATGCCGATCCAATTTAGTTAGGCATTTCTTACTCAAATTGACAAAATGAGTTTCTATCACAAAAACAATCATTGAATTTATTTTTATTAAACACTCAACAAAGCCCTTACTATGGTTTGGAAATTAGGTGTTCCCCAAGGATCCAGCTGATTAGCGGCTACTCCCCAGGGCGTTAAGTGTTGGCAGGTGGTGGACCTGTAAGAGGTAGGGTCTAGCAGGAAGTCCTTGGGTAATTGGAGGTTCTCCCCTAGAGAAAGATGCAAGCATTTTTTGCTCTTAAGAAACAATTGCTTTAAAGGAGAAAGCTTCCCCCTCCTTCCCATTTTTTCATATGAACCTTCTCACACATTTCTTCCTGCCATAGAATGCAAGGCCTGTGCCAGTCTACAATATTCTGTTGGGACTTTCACTCTCCAAAACTGCATCAGACAAACCTCTTCTTTCTATGAACTTAGCTGCGTTAGGTGTCCCAGTGTAGTGATGAGCTCACTGAGACTGTCCCATTTCTCTGAAAACCAGAGAGAAACCCCCATGCATTGAAGTTTAAAATCTAGCTGAGAAGACTATATCAACATGTGAAATAATCAAATAACTTTTAGGTAATAGAATGACAAGTGCAGGAAAGTTATGAAATACTCTTATATAAGTTGGGAAGTCATTTATTTATGTATCCCACAACTCTCTGATAATATGCAGGGCTCTAACTTTTTTCTGAAGTTACATAGAAAACATTTCTCCACATAGCAGAAAGCCATTGCCCTTGGATTTAGAATACTTAATTCCTAGATCATCTCTGTCATTAAAAGTTGCTTGACTTTGTTAAGACTTTTAACATAATGTGACCTCAGTGTTTTCACCTGTGAAATGAGGGGATGGGTTAGGGAAAGCCCCTTCAACTTTAAAGGCCTACCGTTCTCCAGGGAATGGATACCATAAGAGCTATGCAGAGTAGACAGCTAATGAAAACAGCTGGGTGTGTCAAACTGCTTTGAGGATTTGCAGGTAGGCTACGTAAGCAAATGGGTAATTTCCTGTGGAAGCGATACACTTTGATGATTAAAAAACACTTTATATTCTAATGCTGCTTTTATTTCCTCACATACCTTTAATATGATTTGACATTTCAAGCAATACTGCTGTGAGATACACAGGGCACATACCTTCAAGTAACTGTTTTCAAAAAGCACAGCTGAAACACTGAGAGTTTACCTTTTAACATTGAATAATATTTCTTTGTCTGCCAACTTCAAGAATTTGGCTTCACAATCACATAAAAGAGTCTGGGTTCACGATCACATAAAAGAAACAAATTAATGCTCCATATGCTTTGCTTTGTCTGTGTGCTACCTATAGCCCCCAACCCGATACTCTATAATCACATTTGCTTTGTTCTTAATGACCAATTATTCTATACATTGCTACTAGGTTAATTAAAATGTTTAAATAAACTTATTTCATATGACTCTAGTTATATGAATATTATTTCTTAAGACACAAAGTTGCAAGATTAGACTCAAGAAGGAGATAAAATGCATGTTAATAAATTTCTAATACTTAAAGAATATCTCAAATATGTAGATCAAATTCTTTTTTCAGTTTATTAAATATCACTGAATATCATTGTTTTATAGCTCTAAAGCAAACATGATTTCTTTATACATGTTTTTACATATTTGAAATTTATAATCAACTTTATTTTTATTGTACATAGAATTAAAATATGTTTTCATCTTGTAATAAGTCACCCAGTTTTTATTAAGAATATTTTCTACAGGACTATTTCACTTGAAGTCTTACTCTTCAGAATGTTCTGATTTTCTGTTACTATTTGGACTGTTGATTTTCTAAACCTGCTGGACAGCTCTCACCCAATAATTATTTTTCATAGATTTCTAGGTCAAGTTCACTTTTTTCTTGGCTATCATGATCATTGTCTAAATTACTTATTTTTGCCTTAGTATATCATCAGATAATTCTTCTTTTCTCCTTTAGAAAGTACATAAGGTAAGTAAAAAATTTCTAAGCATTTGTATGGCAGATATCTTTTGAAATTGAAAAATAATTTAGACAGGTATATAATTCTTGTTTCAAAAGAATTTCTAGTCAGAACTTTTAAAGCATTCTCCATTATATTCTATCAATCAATTTTCCTGGGGAGGAGAGTGATACCCATCTCCTCCTCTCATTTCTTTACAGATAATTTGTTTCATCTCTCAGGGAATTCTTTGGATCTTATCTTTCATATAGTGAAGTTTCAGAAAAGGTGCCTACCTATGGATTCCTGTTTTAATGCAACATTTAGTGATCTCCTTAATCTACATTATTCACTTAGTCAATGCAATTAGAGGGTTACCTGCTATGTACCAGCATCCAATAGGGGCCTTGGCCGTTACAGGCAGGTTGTTCAACTTCTTTAGAGAACATCTGTTGAGTTTTAGCTTAACTGAGGGTGGACATGCAGAAGAATGCAGTTAAAGGTAGACTTACATAGTTTTTCTGTAGAACAGAAATGCTACTTTCTTGTGATTCTTGCTAACTTTAAGCTCTGAAACTGCAGTTTTTATTTGTATGTGATTGGCTCTCTGAGTCTGTGAGTGATATATCTATGGATTCAAGCAATTGCCGATTGCAAAAACTAGGAAAAAGTTATATCTATACTGAAAATGCACAGACTTCTTTTCGCATCATTATTCTCTAAACAAAGCAGTTAAACAACTATGTGCTTATATATTGTATTAGGTATTACCAACAATCTAGAGGTGATTGAAAATGTACTGGAGGATGTGTGAAGGTTACAGGCAAGTACTAGATCATTGAAGGGCCTTGAGCATCTGCTGATTCTGGTGTCTGAAGGGAGTCCTAGAAACAATCTTTCAAGGATACCGTGGAGTGATTGTAATTTCTTCTTTGCAGATTTATTTGGCTTTGATTCAGAACGGTGTAATCTAACTTTTATTGAGCAGTATTCCAGGAACTATCCTAAGTGTTTATTGTGTCCTAACTTGGTCAGTCCACACAAGAACTCTACGAGAAAAGTATTGTAATTACCCACATTTTAAAATGAGGAGACAGAGCTGTTCAAAGTGATACAGCTCAGGGTTGGCCCAGCTGTCATTTGAATTTAGGCAATCTCTGATCGCATACTCTATTTATCTTGGACAAGTATATAATAATTTCTGATTCATCAGTCCTGGGATTTATTGTGGACTTAATCCTCTTCACACATTTTATACAGGTGTTTCAGCAGAATGGGAGGTGAAGAGGCCAATGGGGAAAGACATGTGTTTTGCTCACAATATTTTACTATAGGTTACCCATGATTTCTGAATGCTAAATTCACAAAGTCTGCTGGCCAACTCCAGATATAAGTAGTTACTCACGCTGAGAATTTATGTAGCACCATAATGGCTGACAATAAGTGGCCAGAAGGTTACTTTTAGAAGTCTAAGGCTTCTGTGGGCATTCTTTCCTATTGCTGTAACTATTGCCTACCTCCACAGCTGGAACCCTCTCTTGCTGATAAAGATTTAAAGATGCCACTTAACTCTCCCATTACCTGCCATGCTCAGTTTTCTGTTTTGTTTTTTTTTTTTTTTGGTTTTTCTCCGGTACCGGGAACCGAACTCACGACCTTGCGCTTGCCAAGCAGGCGCTTTTGCCGCTGAGCTAAATCCCCAGCCCCTTCATGCTCAGTTTTCTGATTGGGCTGTGGTAGTGGCATAGAGGAAAGTAACAGTAGAACTGAATGAGGGAGGGAGGAGGGAGTGGAATTCGTATGGGACCTAGGCTAGATGCTTGCTTTCTGCTAATTACTGCATACCTATAATGACTCATGTGTTCTGTAGATACTCTATATATCAATGTATTTAATTTTTATAATAACCCTGTAGCGAAAGCATCATGCTCCATGGATGAGGATGTTAAGGATTTTGTCTTAGGTCACACAGGAAGTATATTCTTGTGCCTTTGAAGCCCATGTCAGTTTCACTCTGTCATGATGCCTTCCAACACTTTAGGGCAGCATCTGGAATGGAGTGGGTGATCATGCATGTTTACTCTCCATTCCCGTCTTTCACTACACTCACACACACACACACACACCCCAGTGCAAACAATATGTATTAATGGTTATGTGCTGGTATTTGGTAGAGTAGCAGGATTGATATTCTTCTGTGAGTCAAATCATATCTCTCAGGCACACTGCAATGTACCTTTCTGAGGGGTGGGAGTGGAGGAAAAGGCATGGAATTGTGCTCAGAATGATGACTGCTTATAGGTCAGGCTGCGAGGGCTGCAGAAGCGTAGCTCCTCCCACACAGCACTCCTGCAATTCTGACCCTGTGTTCAGTTCCCTCAAGGTGAGGTATTTTACCATATTAAAGAGCAGATTACCTTGCTAAGAGTCCTTGTCAGCTTACTGAGGATGAATTTTGAGACTATACTCTTAAATGAAACAAATTCCACACACAAAATTAAATATCACATGTTTTATATAAGAAACAGAAAACATAAATAATTAAAAGAGAAAAATAAAAGACAGATAATAGGAAACCGAGAGTTTTTGCCAATGGGAAGGGGACCAAGAGATGCAGGTGTTATAGGTAGCTAAGTTAGGTAAAAATATTGTAGGCATTCAGACAGGGCTGGGCCCTTGTGGTCAGTGCAGAAGACAGCTGTGGCTGGAGGCGTGTTCACTGAAGGCCAGGCTTCAAGGAAAAGAACAACTCACCTATATACTTCCTCTAGGGATGAAGAGCAGTGACTGATATTCTGAGTAGCCATCAATCACCTTGGGGAGGAGGACCAAACCTCCTTAACTCACCCCTTCCGGGAAAGTCCTTGTCTGTCCCCTGTGCGCTTGCTATGTGACTTGCTCCCCCATTTGATTCCTATTTAATCGCTATTACCAAGTGACTATACTTGTAATCCTATTGGTTGATCACAGTTTTGTCCCACCTCATACCCATCCTATGATTTGCCATTGGATCAATATTACCTAAGCAACTATGCTAGTAATCTTAGTGATATGTTATAGTTTTGTCCCACCTTAAGCGTGCCTCACTTCCTCTTGGCTTTGCTCAATAAATACCCTTGAGAAACGAGGTCGGTGGGCAACCTGATTTCCAGCTCCGTCAGTCTTAGACAGAAACTTTCCTTTCTCTCAATGAATTCTTCCTACTCTTAACCTCCATTGTTCCTAAGATTCACTCCTTGATTTTAGAGAACATGAACTTGGATATCTCGCAGGTTGGGAGTCTCTTTCCCCTATAGCAGAGGGAAGGTGGATGGGCAAGGGCAAGTAGAAAGAATTAAGCTTTGTTATGTTCGTGTCCAAGATCCCCATGATGAATGTGGTCATTATGAACTGCAAACATGTACTAATAAAAATAAAAATGAAAAGCAAAGAATTCTTATCACCGTTATGTGAACTAAACTTATGAAATTCACTTAAAAAGATAACAGATCACAAAATTATGGCAAGTTACTTATATCTCTTTTCAACAGGTTTTTGCCATTTTCCCATCAAAAGTTTGAGTTTCTTTCTTAGTCCTTTAATTCTGGATGCGGCCGGCTACCTTGCTTTGGGTGAAGGGACGTGAGAAAACGCGGAGCAGAGGCGAGAAGAACACTGCACACCTTCTTACCACCCTGCGAACGAGCCTCCCAGGGGATGAGCGGCCATGTGAGAAGGGGCTCGAGCACCACAGCTTCCTGGACTATCGCTGCAGACGCGAGGAAGAGACAACTTTAGATCCAGCAGCCCCACAGGAGCTGGTCTAACCCAGAAGCAGGAGCCAGATCACCCACAACATTGTGAGATGATGTAAATGATTGTTGTTTTAAGGTACTAAACTTTGTGGTGTTCTGATGTGAGGCAAAAGCGAATGGCCTCGCCTAGCTAGTTGAGGAAGCTTGGAGAGGGGGAGCAAGCTGCCTGGGAGAGGGACCTGGATTACCATTGTTCAACTTAAGGGTCTTGAATGTTTGGCTAGAGGCAGGGGAACCCTAAGGAGAGAAAAGTACAGAAAAAGGGGTAAGGGCATACGTAAAACGAAGTCCACTCTTCCTCACTATTGACCTTGTTATAGCTTCAAGAAGAAACATTGGAACGTGAGTGTTTTATGTCCAGTGTTGGAATTTCGCTGTAACTTGTACAATGCAAAGTGATCTGACACCCTTATTTACTTTTTTATTTAATGGGCCATTGAGTTTCATCTTGACCCAGAACTCTGAGTCTGAGTAGGCTGAGAGGCCTTTTCTGCAGTTGGGAAACATCAGAAGCAGAGAGCAGAAGCCGTGTCCCTGAGTACCCTGCCAGTCTCCTGCAACCTACTGCAACACTGTACTGTGTTAAAAACACCAGACTCTAGTGCTCTAACTTAGAACTATAACCAGTTTGGTAACGGGCGTTGTCCCTCCACTGTGGAGTAGTAACTGAATGCATGTCTGCTGTCTGTAGGGACTGAGGTTTCCTAGAGCACGAATCTTCTTTTATCCATTCATTCTTTTATTTGTGCGGAAAATGTTCATTGTTTTACCACGGTGCATGCCTGATTTCATGGATGGTGCTATTTAAGCAGAAGAGAAAAGAAACAACATACATCTGTTGGGTTTTTGTTCGTTTATTTTTATTTTGTAGTGCTGGAGATAAAATGCAGTGCCTCGTGCATGCTAGGTTATGTCTCTACTACTGAACTACATCCCTAGCTCCATAATCCATTTTCAAAAAACATTTTGGGTTGCTATTGAGTAGTTACTAAATGTTGTGGGCACAGAGAAGGAAGAAGAAAGGCTTGATTTAATCCAAGCTCCTGTATCATAACTCATCTTGCTTTATCTCCTACAATTCACAGTGCACTAAATAGCGAGGATGACTTAGTGAAACATATTAGGTTATATACGTTTTCAATTAAATTTCTTACTACACTTACAAAGTAAAAGGGAATTTCCTCCTGACTGTACCTTGATCATTCTGGCTTTCATTTCTTAGGTAACCCTTAACTTGCGCTTCTTGGCCGACACCTTAGAAGAAGAGCTTCCTGCTGCCTAAAGCAGCATCATTCCTTCTCCTGGTTCAGAGCGTAGCTTAGGAGACTGAACTCCTGACCCCTGATAAAGTGACTGCGGACTGACCCTGAGGAACTCCACCATGATATGCTTTTTCCCGCCCTCCTTCTTTTCCTTCCACTTTTTTTTCCCCCTTTCTTCGCTTTGTTTCTCTGCACTAGAATCCAAGCACCACCAAAAGTGTGGCTATACTTCCTCGCTGCTATGCTGCTCTTTCCCAGGTGTCGTAGGTGCTTTTGGGGAGATGCATAGCAGAATCCTGAGTGCTGCAAGACTTGCAGGTACACGTTGGGTGGCCAAGAGGGGGAGATGGCTTTTTTTTATTTATTTATTTATTTATTTATTTATTTATTTATTTATTTATTTTGAGATAGGATCTCACTATGCAGTTCAGGCTGGCCTTGAGCTCACTTTGTAGCCCAGGCTGGTCCCAAACTCGCATTGATCCTCCTGCCTCAGCCTCCCTAGTGCTGGGATTACATGCGCGCACCCCGACGCCAGGCCTTGGGAGATGGCGTTTTAAACAGGAAACGTGTCACTGTATTAAAAAACAGGAGACGGCAAAGTGCATTGGAGGGTTTTGATACCTTTTCTTGCAGGCTTTTTAACTTTTATTTTTACTGGTACATGTTTGCACTACATAATGATTACATTCACCCCGGTGAAGTGAGCTGATCTAAGTTCGGATCGCTTCATTTTTTTCATCCTTGCCCCTCCCTCAATTTCTTCGTTCCTTTTTGCAGAAGAAATATCTCCCTGGCTCCTATTAGCCATCTTTTATTTTCCTCTTTAATGTATCTATATTTTATGTTTCTAATCTAACAGAAGTCAGGTGATATTTAAGCTTATGTGTCTGATTTATTTCACTTAACATTATTGTCCCAAGGGGCAATATTTTTCCTACCAATGCTTCGTTTGCCCTCTTTCTAAACTTTTTAAGCAAGGTGTTGATGAAGACCGCTCAAGGAAATTATGTCAAGCCCATTGTTTTCATGTTGGCAAATGACAGGAGGCCCGGATGTGCATGGGGCGATTGGGGGTGAAGACGGAAGAAAAAGCGCCACCAGAGCGCCTTTGCCCTGCGCAGGGCCCGCGTTTTATTTTAATTTTTTATTCTAGAGAGAAAAGAAAACAAAATAGCAATAACCAAGGCAAAAACAAAACAACACAAAAATAATAAAAGCAATACAGAAGTTTAAAACAAGGTAATAAGAAATTAGCAATGGTTGTTATATTACATATTGTTATCTTCAACGAAGTTGCTCAGATTATCAGATGTAAGAATGCAAGATTGACCAAACCATTAAAGAGAAAAAGGAATAATAATTTAAAAAAAATTAGAAACGATACAGAGTTTCGCCTACGTTTTAACCCACCTCGGACTCTCGGTCCTCTTCTCAGCAAGACTCAAGGCCAGCTGCTCCTGCGGTTGGTTCTGCAGCTCAGCTCTTCACAGGGCAGGAAGGAAGGGCGGGTCTGCTTGAGATTTCCTGTCTCGCTGCGAGCCACTGATACTGAGCACTTTTCATACCCTTTGCAGCCTGCTATCCGGAGAGCAGGAATGCTGCCCCAGAAGTCAGGCCGGAACCGCCGCCAGCTCGTGATAACTGCCCTCTCCCTCCTTTAAGCCAGCAGCTCGCTTTCAGGGGGGTCCCCTTGGCCTGCTCAGACTTGGAAAAGGGGCCCTGCAGTAGCGCTGTAAGCGGAGAGAGAAGCTCAGGAGAGTGAGCATCAGTCGGGTGAGGCAGACAAGGACACTGGCTTTGGAGACTGGAGCCCAAGCAGGAGGTTCCCTTCCGCCTGGCTGGGAAAGGCCGGGCTGCCTGGTACCTGCTCCCCCGCACTCCCTGCCGGCCTGCGTTCCTCCTGGCAAGGAGTGCGGGGTTTTACTTTTAAAATAATTCTTGCACGCGCAGTGTAATGTTGCAGAGTAATTCTACCAAGTGGCAATGGTGACAGCCCCACTACCTACCTTCAACACCCCTCGTTATTACTCAGACCCTCCCAGCAGCCCCCACAAGCCCTCCACTCAGCCTGCTGCTCTGAGGGGGGGTGATGTACACAGCAGTGCTTTGAAAGTCTTAGTCATTACGTAAAGGTGAGACTCATACCTGAGTCAGTATTTCAGGAATAATATTTTATTTAGTTTACGAAAAAAGTATGAACTTTGGATGTATACAGGGCTAAGTTCAGGTATATGCCTTCTGTCCCCTTCCAGCTGTAGGATTACTACTGTGACTTCCTCCCACCTAAAAGGGGGACAGTGCTAAGTGCTTCTTGGGTTATAGCGCTTACAGGGATGTGCACGAAAACTCCCCAACTCCGTGTGGCCCGTAGGAGACTCACTGCAGATACGGGCTCCCTTCCTTTTGTCATTTTTCCTCTATAGATGATAGAAAGGAATCACAGGCCTCTACAATCCTTCACTGGGTGTTGGATCATCTTTCAGAGTGCCTGCAGAAATAGTGAGGAGGAAGAGGCATGGGCAGAGGAGTGAGAAATAACATCCCCATGAGGCAGGCTGCTGTCGTGAGGAAAACTTCTTCTGACCATGTATTTGAAAGCGGCTGTTTGTATTAGCCATGTGAAAATCATGCTTCGAAGATATAACGGAAGATATATTACTAAAATGCATTTTTTTCTTTAACAATGATTGCAGCAATATAAACATGATCCTCAGGCTTTGGTGGAGAAATGTAATGAATTTAGTTATGATATGAGTAAGTAGTTATGATATGAGTAATGAATTTAGTTATGATATGAGTAAGTTTAAATTGCGAGCCACTAATTGGCTACCTCAGAGAACCAGGACTCTCACAGTGTGTGTTCATCAGAGGTGAAAAATTAAGTTATACAGTAGTCACCACAGTGTGTTAGAGAATTAGATATAGTTTTCAGTGTTTTTATTCTGTTCAAACAATTAGACATCTAGTTTAATCTATGAAACTTAGGACCGGGGATACAGCTCGTGGCACAAGCATCTGACTGGCAAGCGCAAGGCCCTGAGTTTGATTCCTAGTATCAAAAAAAAACAAGAAAAAAAGAAAAAAGAAAAGGAACCTGGATCAAGCTTACAATGGTAATTATTTTATTAAGCAGATAGGTTTTTTTTTCTCTGTCACTCCTGATCTTTAATCTGTAGATTAGAAAGTAATAGTAGTCTTGTGTATGTGTGTGTGAGATACTAAAAATTGAATACGGGGCCTTCACAGTAAGCTACATCTTCCCCCTTTTTTGTTTATTTATTAATATATTTATTTTGAGACAGTCTCTCACTAAGTCACTAAATTGCCTAGACTATACTTGAAATAGAAATCCTTGTGCCTCAGCCTCGCAGAGTGCTGGGATTACAAGTGTGTGCCACCATGCCCGGTTTGTATGAGTACTCTCAGAATGAGGTGAGGCATTCTCTACTTCCCATGGGACTTTTTATGAATGTGGTCTTAGCGCATACCAAAGACTATTTGAGTTGCAAAAAAAAATGTCTTCAGAACTATCTCAGCAAGCGTGAGACTTTACAGTTCTCTTTCAGACAAACTCTTCAAAGACGTCAGCACGACATTATTGTGTAAGGCCCAGAAACTTAGAAAGCAAATAGCATTCTTTTCCCTTGTGTTGGGAGCTTAACAATAATTCCAAGTTCTAATTACATCTTGACAACTAAAACTAAGTATATTTTTCAAAAAAAAGACACTAAGACCAGGATAAACATTCGTACACAATAATATACTTTTCACTACAAGGCCTTCGTTTTCTTTCACAGAACTATCTCCTAACAAAATTCTGACCCTGTGTACTTATGCCTGTATTGCTGGACTGGCCCAAAATGTGGGAAGTAATACTCTGACAAATTGAGTATGTAGCCCTGATAATTACCTTGAATATTTTGGCCTCAGTGGGTTCAGGGAGCTTTATTTCCCAGTGGTTGACGATATTTATTGAGCAAATATTTGGTGAAGAGTTTAAAAGGCATTATCCAGAACGATGAGAAAGGATAGAAAGGGATAAAGAGAAATGAGTAATGTTTAGTGCATTCTTTTCTTTTAGGAGCAGTTTGTAAGATCTTTGTATAAACTGAATTTAATAACAGCAGTTTATTGTAGCTGTTATTATCCACGGATGTCCTGAGGATGTAACTCAGAAGTATTTTAATGCTATTAATATTACTAAGCTTAACATGAGTTTTTTCATCATGGAAGAGAATTTTCTACTTAAATAGTTCCTTGTGATAGAGTTATTCTTGGATTAAAATGTAAGCTGTGCATTTTTAGTTCACATTTTTGTTATTGAATATTCTGATCTACATAGAGTAGGACCCACATCTAAGGAACAGAACTTTGGTAGTGAGTCATATGGAAAATAAAACTGAGTATTTTTTTGGAGAAAAGAATTTAATGGTGATGATGTAAAATAGGCAGACTCAAACATGTGTTTGAACTATGTTTTTCTCCCTACCTCTTAATCCTCCCTGTATTATATAAAAGCAATCTAGAGAGGCATGTGATTTTCAGAATAATTATATTTAACACAAGAAGCAACAAATGGCATTTTGAAAACTAAAATACTTTTCCTCTACTGGTTTTCACTGTGAAATTAGAACGTCCTCTAAGTTTATGTATGTGCGGTTGAATACTTCATTGGGGGAGTTAAGAAGACACACAGACCTAGGCCACAACAGACCTAAATGTATCAGAGAACTGTAGTTTCTCCTTAAATCCTGACCATGAACTCTCTGTCCTACTGTTAACTCCTTTACCCAAACGTCTATTCCTCCAATCAGAGAACATTAGCCTTTTACTCACAAACGCTGCAGCCTAGAGCAGGGCTTGCTGACGGCCCCGATGCAGGTCTGGTCCAGATCAGCCCCTTCTGCCTGGTCGGACAGAGCGATTGTGGGCTGCAGTGGCTCTCAAGATGGAACTTCTTGAAGGCATTGTTAAAACACAGCCTGCTGGAGCTTTAGTCCTGCTGACTTAGTAGGCCAGAGGCAGTCCCTCGAAAGCAGCATTTCTAAGCTCTCAGCTGATATTGTCAGCCTGGGAACTTTACCTGAGAACCACTGGTGTGGTGCAAAAAGCCCAAAAATAGAAATGGAGAAATCATGCCTTCATCTATTTTGACAGCTTCCTGCCACTAAACACGTGTGTCTGAACTTCAGACCTAGTTCCCTCATTTAGAAAATAAAGAAGGTTCAGCTGGTAAATCTTGTTAAATTTTCTTCAGTGATTTTTCTGTTCATCTCATATGTGCTACCCCAGCAATGCAAGCAGACTCATCCCACAGTCATTTCAAATTGTGAACCTGTCTTCTGAAGATGTATCATAGTCTCATTGAAAGCATTAGAGGGCAGGGTGGCTAGGAAAAAACACCTAAGTTATTTCTGAATATGAAATAAAACCATCACATTCTTAGATCAGAGGTTCCACATGATGTGCCAGAACAGGTTACAAGTATGCTGAGATAGTGATTTTCTTGAAGCTGGACCATCCACAGCCCCCAGGCAGTCCCTCTTCAAACTGTCTCCTTCCCCTCTGCAACCATGGGCATGTTATGATTTTCTATGTACTGTCGTATGAAAGAGTTGGGGAAGTACAGTAAGGTTAAGTAAAGTGATTTTATTTCTACATCCATTCAGTAGTTCTAATATTTTCCACATCTGATTCATTTAAGAGTGAGAGAAGTCTGATGGGAAAGACTGGCCCTGATATGGTAATTTAGTCTTTAAAATGTCAGCAGAAATATTGGCACCATTCTTAGTGTATTCTACTTTGATGAAGGAATTTAATAGGCTCTGGAGGAGATGATTTGATTTCCCTGAAGTCACTTAAGAGACAGTTCTCCCGTTCAGCACTTTATCATTTTTGTTGTATCACCAGCCACACACTGGGCATTACACAGAGTGTAATAAGGAGCCAGTTGGAAGCTGGCTAAGGGCAGGAAGCACGCATGTGCAAGCGCATCCATGTGTGTGGTGGCTGGAATTTGGGAATCGAGAGTATGGAAGAATGTGTCTGAGTCCTCAGATGGGACTTTCAGGTTTCCTGAAAGTTTAGGCAGTGCCACCACCTAGATCTTCCTCTGCTGGAAATCCCATTGAAATCTAGAGAAATCCTCAGAGACTAGAAGAGCACTGGGAATGCGATGGGTACTCAGAATATATCTTTCAATAGCTTTATAAGGTCTTGATAGGGACAATTTCATTTCAATCTACTATTTAGAACCTATATTATTTTCCCTGCACAAAGGAAAAACCATAAAATGGGAAATGACATGGAACAGAAGGAGACATCTGATTTTACAAAATAAGTTGACTTATTATTCTAACCAATTCTACCTCATCAACTCATTGCAACTTGTTTCTAGGTTATTTAGTTCCTTGTTTTTAGAAAAACAATTTCTGTTATCTTGACAACTGATTGACCTTCAAAATTTGTCCCCATTCCTTTTTACATAGTAAATTTACTACTCTGGTTTGTCTTCAAATAGTATAAATCTTTTGCCTGATACACAGTAAATTTATGCAGGCTTTTTCTTGCTAAAGAATCATCTATTTGATTGCATATGAAATAGTTTAAGGGAGCCTACTTGCTTTTAAAATTGCTGTTCTCCATCACCAATGGCCTTGTCCATCATGAAAAATTTATGTCAAATCTCTGTAGCATTTTAGATGGGCGCTAAAACAGCTTTACACAATCATGAGTATAATTAATTTATAATCATACATTTTTGTAGTAAGTAAAAAGCATAAAAGTAGCTTCTAAAAGGTGACAGCACTGTGATTAGTCCATGCAAAATTTAGACAAAGTCCAGAATGAATGTTATTTTATCCTAGTTTTCAAGTGAGAGGGAGAAAATGGCTTTCCTGGAACTCAATTCCACTTTATACTTCTCTTTCAAACTTAATTTCTCAGTTTATTGCTCATAATTGACAATTTTTGGATACTATTTGGCATGCTTTTGAAACGGCCAACGTTGTATTATTTTTATTGAAGTTTGCTTTGGGCTTCAAAGAGTCTGAGGATCACCATTCTTTAACAGGAAAATCTAGATGTACATTTTAATAAATAGGAATTCTTTTTTCTCATTATTTACTTCTGCATTAGGGGAGATAATCTTTCTATCATTGAGAGAGACAGCCACGCATTATCATGCATGTTTCTAATCCACAGAATACTTTCCTGGTATTCTCAAGAATACACGTGCTTTATTTCCTTGAATATCAAAGACAGTGTACTGTTACATAACATTTC